CTTCTATCTTGGTTGATTCTTCTGAGAATTCCACCTTAGAGGCCAAGGTGGCGAGGGCGTCCGGGCATCGATTGTTGGAGCGAGGAGCGTATTCTATCCTTACCATGTCGAATTTGTCTGTCAACCTTTGGACGATGGTTCTGTATGAAGCCAAAGAGGGCTCTTTGATAGCATAGTCTCCATTGGTCTGCTTGACCACCAGATTAGAGTCGCCTTTGATACATAAGAGACTTACTCCTAGATGGAGTGCTACCAAAAGCCCCAGTATCAGGGCTTCATACTCTGCCTCATTGTTAGAGCATCGAAAATCCAGTTTATATGACAAATTGACTTCGGTTAGGTTTGGGGATGTCATGCCCCAAACTCGTCCTTAAAAGTTTGGGCATGACCACTTCAAAAACGAACACTTAACTCGATGTACATAAGATATGGGACCAGAACGGAAGCATTGATAATATAAAATAACATAAAACAAGATCCATTGAGCTACCCCTACCATGCCAGGATCGTAAACATCGCATTAGGTAAATAATTTACAGGAAACATATACCCGAGCTTTAGTTACATACACCTACATAGATCCAGCCCCACAATTGGGCGTATAATCAAAAGCATTAGTAAGGAAGGGGTTATATACATTTTAATCTAAAGCAGGCAATTAGAACCCAAAGCCAAAAGCTTGACAAAACTCCACAAATGGATAGCTTTCTCTAAGTGCCTGAACACACTGCGGTTGACAACAGAGGTACGAATGCTGTGGATTAAGACTGACCTCCAGGTCGAGTGCCTACAGAAACAGACATAACATAAAGTGAGCCAAGCTCAGTGAATAATAGTAGGTAATAATCCAATAAATAACTTGAATCGCAAGGTACATAAATGCAGAGAACTTATAGTTAATCTTATCCTGTAATTGTTTCCAGAACGGCCTTGGGCCCAGTCTTCAAACAGAGTGGCTTTAAGCCCAGAATATAGAACGGTGGTAAGCCCACAAATTTCACAGAGTGGCCCTTGGCCTAACAGGTTCACAGATTGGCCCTCGGCCTAACAGATTCACAGATTGGCCATAGGCCTCACAGATTTCACAGAATGGCTATAGGCCTCACAGATTTCACAGAACAGCCATAGGGCCAGATATTAATAGATCGGCTTTAAGCCCAGTTTATGTACGTATGGACTCAAGAGGTGTCTCGCACGGATTCTAGAGATGACTCACACTGTAGCACTTAGTTTCGTACAGCACTTTGTTCCACACCAGAAAATAATAGGTCTTACAGGTTATACAGAATGGCCATAGGCCCAGATACCATTAAAGCGGACTGGTCTCAGAGTTATATAGAGGCACATAGATTCCTTCAATCATTCTCATGTGTTAGCCTAGTTAACTTGTGTTTAACAGAGTGCTAATGATAACTATTAACATGGGGCACATATATCATTACAGTACGCTTAGTAAGGACAGAACGATTCACATTCTAACGTGGGTCATATAGTGATGTTAGACCTTTACATTCATATTATAGGTTTTGAGCGACCTCGGGTCCATGTATAACACAACAGAATAATCTTAAATTCACACAGATACCATTGTTCAAGGATGAACATAAGGTCCATTTATTCGTTAAGAAACGACGTAGTTTGCTTACGAATAACAAAATGTTAACATTAATTATTAATAGTACACCAAATGTACTACACAATACTACTACTCACAGTGCTGTGGTGGAGCGTTAGTCCTTCCCGGAGTGTGTCCTGTACACATACATAACTCACCAATGAATTTTACAAATATCATTTCTGGACACACTTCGCTTCAAATGAATTTTACAAATATCAGAAGGTATCAAATATAGATTTCAAAAATATCGGAGGGTCAAACACGTAAAACGAAGCAGACCATTTTTCCCAGCATGGGCCGCACATGCGGCAGTGGCTCCCGCATGTGCGGCAAAAGGGTCTCGCACGTGCCTTTTTTTCAGTGTCTTCAGCCCAATTTTTCCCTGTTTTCCGCAAGTGCGGCTGTGAGCCCCGCACGTGCAGCAAGGCGCCCCGCACATGCGGCCATGACCCCTGCACGTATGACGATTCTGCCCTGTTTGAGCAGTCCGAAACAAAACCTTCCCACAACTTGGTAGGCACACATTAAGGCTCAAAATAAAGGGAAATTAAGGCAATACAATAGCTTAACATCAAGGTAACATAGATTATGAGTATATAATACTACAATAATCATGAATTACAAGCTCAATTACATTAGTCATTTTCAATTTCATAACACAAATCACTTCTCCATAACATACAAACAATATACATGCACAAACATGTAGTTTCAACATGAGAATTCAAGGAATAAGTTACAATTCCTCCATATAATCCAATTTATCTCCAAAACAACTAATTGCTAAGAATACTCTTCCTATTAAATAGTTACCACACTTAATCTCAATAACAAACTCCATGAAAGTAAGAGAAGTTTTAAAAAGAGGTCAAAGAGAAGGTGATTCATACATACCTTGACTCAAATTTCTACAAACCCTCTCAATTTCTTAATCTTCTTCCTTGATAAGCTCTTCTCCCATGGTTCTTCCTCTCAACCTCACCACTCTCTCTCAAAAGATATTTTTGAGGGACTTCCCAAGTGAAGAGCATAAAAGACAAATAGATATATATAAAAGTGGTTTAAAACAAAATTAATCAGTTTAATCATTCCAAATCAGATTTTTATAGAAAATCATATCATGCTCTAAAAATCATGTTGATCCTAAATATAAAGTTATTTTCAAATTACCAAGCCTCTAAGGCTTTCAATTTCCGATCTGAACATTACAATTAGAACAGATATTTCTCATAGTTGACAGGTAGAAATCCATAATCAAATAATTTACGCAATTGAACCTAACTTCACGTGGAATCTCAGACTACCCAGATAGATGCACACAATATGAGACTGAAAGTATACCAGAAAGCATATAAGAGGGTCGGGTTATTACAGGAGAAGTAAGGACTATTCCAGCTCCTCCCCCTTTGGAGGTGGATGATCCATCAAAACTCAGACTTCATTCTCCTTTAGCGTTTACTTCAGCAGCTTGGAACTCATCTCCTGGCAGCTCATCTGAGGGCGGCTCATGTTCTCCACTGGGGAAATGAGCCAGGAGGTCGGCTAGCACTTGGCTCTTAATGGCCTTGGGAGCTTTACAGGTGATATCATATTCTGCTAGCGAGAGGACCCAGCGGGCTGGCCTACTGGAGAGCGCAGGTCTGGTGAGGAGGAATTAGATGGGATCACTCCTGGTCATGAGATGAATGGGGTAAGAAAGGAGGTAATGTCAGAGCTTATTAGTAGCGAAGACCAAGGCGAGGCAATGCCGCTCGATAGGGGAGTATCAGATTTCAGCCCCTTGGATAACCCTGCTTATGTAGTATATGGGTCGTTCAAGTCCGTCGATTTCTTAGGCGAGCAAAGCTCCGACTGACTTCGGTGTGGAAGTGATGTAAAGGAGTAAAGGCCTTGCTGGTTGAGGAGGAGTCATGGAGAGAGGGGAGGTCAAAGCTAACTTCACCCCTTCGAACGCTTGGTGGTGCTCCTCATTCCATGTGAACTTGACATCTTTCTTTAGCAATGAGTTGAAGGGTTATGTTATTTCAGCCATAGCAGGGATAAATCTTCTCAAATAAGATGCCCGACCAAGGAAGGTTCTCAGCTCGTCTATACTCGTTGGTCGTGGCATATTTCTGATGGCGGCGACCTTTGCTGGGTCGGGGTCTATCCCATGGCGGTGAACAATGGAGCCAAGGAACTTGCCGGCAGTGACTCCGAATGCGCACTTAAGCGGGTTCATTCGAAGTCTGTATTTCTTGCAATGTTCAAAGACTTTTTGAAGGTCTTTGAGGTGATTAGCTTCTTCTTTGGATTTTACAACCAAATCATCAATGTAACACTCCAGGGTTTTGTGCAACATATCGTGGAAGATGGTTGTCATAGCTCTTTGGTATGTTGCTCCTGCATTTTTCAATCCAAAAGGCATTACAGTATAGAAAAACTTACCTATGGGAGTGCAAAATGCCGTCTTGGGGGCATCCTCTAGAGCCATCTTAATCTGGTTGTAGCCACTGAAACCGTCCATGAATGAAAACATATGGTGTCCAGCTGCCGAATCAATCAAGGTGTCTATGTTTGGGAGTGGGAACTCATCTTTGGGGCAAGATTTGTTCAGATGTCTAAAGTCAACGCATAATCGAATCTGTCCATTCTTTTTTATGACTGGGATGATACTAGAAAGCCATGTGGGGTGCTGGATAGGTTTGATGAATCCAACTCCAAGTAGCTTTACTACTTCGTCCTTGATCTTGAGCTCTACCTCAGGCTTATAAAATCTGACACCTTGCTTGACTAGGCGAGCCAGGGGGATGACGTTCAAGCGGTGTATGGTAGCTTCTTTGTCTAGGCCTGGCATTTCTTCATATGTCCACGCAAAGACATCTGAATACTTCTTGATTAGCTCGACGAGGGGCCCTCTCTGTTCTTCTGGAAAATCTTCGCAAATGAAGATAGGACGTCTGGGTTTTCCTTCAGGGCCTATGTTGATTTCTTCTAGTTCTTGCTTTTGGGGCCGAGGGCCATCTTGTAAGCATTCTAGAGCAAGCCTAACTTCTTGTAGTCCATCTTTCTTTGGGGTTGCAACCGAGTTAGTAGGGGCTTGGTGAGGGGATGAAGTGGCTGCCTTAGATTCGACTTTTGAGCCCCCAGCTCTATCCGAGTGACATGTTGATGGACCATTGAATTTGTTGAATTGCTTTTCTATTACTGGGAGAGCCATGACTTTCTTTTCCTTTCTGTTTCTCTTGTTCTTGCTTTTTTATTCTTTTTTTATTCTTTGCCCTTGGGCCAATGTAGATAGAGTGCAGCAAAGATAATCTCTTTCATTTGGTTCGTGACAAGCGATTGCCACTTCGTCTGGCTGGGGGTTGGCATTGGTGACACTTGCCAACCCCAGAGACCATCATAAATGGTATACCACTCTGCCATCTTCAGTTTGGAGCCTCGTCACTTTAGGGAGCTTTCTTGAGGGTTTTGATCTGGCAAACATCTTTCTACGATATGGTGATGCATCTTCTTCCGAGAGGTCATCCCAATTTGGTATGGGAGTTCCTTGGAGTGGCAAGGGGGGTTCATCTTCATCAACATGATTGTAAAATGCTTCATTTGCCATATGAGCTTCATCCACTTGAAAAGGTTTTTGAGAGCCAGTTATGGCCACTACCTCATTGTTGTAAATTGCTTTGACACATTGATGGTAGGTGGAGGGGATTGCAGTGTATCTATAGAGCCAAGTTCTCCCTAAAAGAGCCTGGTAGGTCGTCTCAGCCTCTATGACATGGAACTTAGTGGTGGAACGGATCGGTCCAACTGTGAAGTCTAGTTGGACATGCCCTATGGTTTTGATTTTTTGATTTCCAAAACCGGTGATGGAAATGGGTTGTCTGACTAGGTGTTTATGTGAGATCCCGGTTGCCTGGAAAGTAGAATAGGGCATTACATTTAGTGAAGCCCTTCCATCCATGAATCCTCTTTGAAACTCCATCCCATTGATGAACACTGGGACGTAGAGGGGACGATTGTATGGGAACGGTACTTGCTTGTCTGCTTCAGTAAAGGTTATTGCCAAGGAGTTATCTCAGAACACTTTCCTAACTAATCTACTTACACTCATGCATGCCTCACCATTTTGTTACGCAAGCCTTAGAAAGGCTTTGGTGGCTTCGAAACGTATTGCTTCAGACAAACCGAATTGGTCAAAGAACCATTTGAACTTTGTTGATTTCTTAAGTGCTATTGTGCACCGGGTCTCAAAGTCTGGACAAGTGGGAGGTGCGAGCTCAGAGAGCTCACACACCATTGGTTCTTCCGTTTCGTCATAATGCGAAAGCATCATGACCGTCTTGCCGTTATCTTTGTGACGGGGGAGAAGATCTTTGAGGACGTCCTTTGTCTGGCAACAAGGTAGTTCCAAAGCGTCGTCAGCCATCATCTTTCGAACTAGGGATCTGAGCGCCCAACATTCAGCGGTAGGATGTTTAACGAAGCGGTGGTATATGTAGTAGTCTGCCCGAGCTTGATCTTTTTTGGTGACAGGTCGCCTTGGTTCAGAGAGATGAACTTTTCCATCTTCTACCCAGGCGTTGAGGAGTGCTTGTGCCTCGTCCACTGAGATAGGCGACGGTGGGGGAATTTGATCAAATTTTCTCTTCTTTGCTTGGAGACTTGTTCTTCCTCTATTGGAACCTCCTGCTGCATATACAGCGTGGTTGCATCTGTTAGGCCTCCATAAGGAAGGTGGAGGTGTCGCTGCTCGCCATGAATGTAGTTGTGGAGCTTTCCTTCGTGCCCCTGATCTTACTATTTCACTTATGTTTCGAGTCGTAGCGCATAAGGTAGAAAAGTCAGGGAAGTGGTGATTGACCAACTAGAGGTTGTAAGTTGTGAGCATCCCTTTGATGCACATTGACACCAGTTGATGCTCTTCCATCGGGTCTTGAATGTCTACTGCTTTTTCCCTGAAGTGGCGAACATAAACAAGGATGTCCTCTCCAAGTCGCTGTGTTTCCCTCATAAGATGAAGAATGGTTAGCCTTTCTTCAACGTAAAAGAACTTGATATAGAATTTTTTTACTAAGTCCTCCCACGAAGAAATAGAGCCAGCAGCGAGGTTGGCGTACCATGAGAACACCCGATCTGTGAGGGACTTGGAGAATTCTCTCATGCAGAGGTTTCGATCTTCTCGATGGGCACCAAGGGCGTCGAGGAAGCGCGAAACGTGCTCCCTAGCGTTCCCTTTTTGTCCGTCAAAACGAACAAACTTTGGTACAGTGTATCCTGTCGGATATGGGAGACTTACGATATTAATAGGGTATAGGGGACGGAGATCCAGTTTTGGAGAGGTAAGAATGTGACCTTTGTTTGTCTGAAGGAGGTTGTGTATGTGTTCCTTCACTTCGTCCAATGTCAGGGGTTGGACTGAAGGAACCTGGTCTGACAGGAGAGCCGGAGAGCACGTTGAAACCACCGCAGCGGGAGTTCCGCCGACCAAACCGACTGGTGGCAAGGGTGCTTGGCTTGGAGCCTGTAGAGGGTGCAGAATGGCTTTCTACCCTCCTACTTGGTTTTGCAAGTTGTTTCGAAGGGCGAGGTTAGCCTCTGAGTCATTCTGAGCTGATGGCAAAACTCCATTTTGTGATGACGAAAAGGGGTTAGATGTTGATGGAAGTGTAGGCGCCCTTTGTAAGGCTAATAAGGCATCCATCAAGAGCTGTTGGTTCTGTTGGAGAGAGGTGACATTCTCAACCAAAGCACGGAGTTGTTCCGTTATGGCCGGTTGAGGGGATTGTTCCTCCGGAAAGCCGTCGGGGTTGTGTTCCAAGGTCTCCACCAAAGCCTCCCTACCGCCACCTTAGGATGTCGCTGTACCGGTTCCGGTATTCTTTTTGGGTGCCATGTGAAATGGGCACCACTTTTCCCCAGTGGAGTATAATGTAGGTGATAGAGATTAGAGGTGATCGGTTGTTGACCTCTGGGAAGATGGTAGGCACTTCAATGACTTAAGATCACCGGAGGTGGAGGAGTAGAAGACCAAGGCAAGCTTAGAGAGGGAAGAGGTGGCAGTGAGAGACCTTGAACACTTAATATATGTTATGTGATTCTTGTTACTCTTGCTGTGTGTTTGTGGCTGCACTTGTGATGCCGTTATATAGACTCCAGGAGTATTGGAGCCCAAGCAACCTCAAAACAAGCGGCAAGTGCTCCTCAACTCGACAGGAGGGTGATATCAACCCTACTAGCTGTGTCTTATGATTCAGGTCCTTGGGGAGGTTGCATCATAAGAACTGCAGGGGTAGGTGTGATATCTTGAGAGGCGTATCATATGTGCATCAGATGTAAGTGTAAGGTCAACGTCTCTTTCTCTAAGCCAGGTCAAAGGGGAAGCTATCACTGCAGGAAGATAGCTACACGACCTTGACGATCCCGTGGTCTTAGCCTCCAATCCATAATCCTCCAATGATCCCAAGCGGGAGTGCCAAGGTCCTGCTCCCGACCTAGGCAGCTTAGAGGGTGAATGCATGGGTGAGCCAAGGGCTCACCTCAGTAGCTAAGTAACCATAAGTGAGCGGAGCATAGGTGAGCCAAGAGTCTGGCTACGTTGCCATGGAGTTTGGTGAGTGGGTAGAGAATACATTTCTTGAGTTATGAAGGGTCATGAAGAGCTCTAAGTGAGCCAGCTCCATGTGGCCTTGTTTCATTCTTGGTGGTGTTCATACCCGCGCTTAGGCTAGGCATACAATCTCGACTCGTCGTGGTGCCTCAGGGGTCTGCCATGTGAATGCGTAATGGTGATGACATACTCATCGTGGTGCCTCAGGGGTCTACCATGTGGATGTGTAGTGGTGCTGACGTGATGCCAGTTGGGCTCGCCACGTGCCAAGTATAGTATAAATACCCACATTTTTGGAACGCGAGCTTACGTTCCTTCATTGAGACTTCGAATCACACACAACACAACTTCATCATCGAGCGCCCAGGATAAAGCATCCAAGTCTTGCAGGTGGTAAAAAATGGAGTGTCTACAGAGTCTTAACTGTAGGGCTAGTCGTATCCAAAAGGAGCACGAAAAGCAAGCTACAGTTTCTATCACTTTCATCAAGATTCTCGGCCTCAGCCTCTTCTCAAACTCTAGACGCCTACGCTCTTTTGTAGCTACCAAGTCGGGTGCAAAATGTGATACTCACGTAAAAGTAGCCTCAAATTCCAACACTATGGAATCAGACTGTTCTAGTTCCTTAAACACTCTCCTCAAGTGCTCCCTTGCAGTTGGAGAAAGGTATTTTTCCTGAAAGGCATGAGAAAATGCCTCCCAAGTATGTTCAATTTGACCCTTGGCATATTTCCACCATTGGCCGGCATCCCCCCTTCAATTGATAACTAGCGAGGTCCACCTAAAGTTCACCATCCCGAATATCTAAAATCTCGAAAGATTTGGTGATTTGCTCAAGCCATTCATCTACCTTTAATAGTTCAGCACCCCCCAAGAAATTCAGTAGGATTTGAGCGGAAAAATTTCTTTTTTAGGAATGAAACTCTAGTCTCCCCTTCAATAGTTCTAGCAGCTTGCTCGGCTCTAAGAATATCCATGGACTCCCTAAGAGCCCCGGCCATCTCCCAAGCCAGCACTCCCATAGCGTCTTGGGCCAGTGGAGCGGCCATAGTGTTTTGACCCACTCCTTCTTCTTAAGGAGGGATCTTTAGTTGAGCTGAGATATCCCGACCAGCTCGATGAGGTCTGCCACGACCTCTAGGACATTCAAACATCATATATAACAGTAGATGTGGACAAAATTAACTCAAAATTCATATACTAGTTCATCACTTCTTCTCAAGTCTCCCTCTCCTTCTCAACACATAAGCATGTAAATAAACAAAACACATACGGATCCCTCTCCAAAGATATCAACTCATTCCATGACATTCAAGGATTTCCTAGTGGAAAAAAAATATTGATCAGATGCCTTTCCAAAGGGACTTCGATGAATGTAGTGGACACCAGTTATATCTTGGAGGATTGACCCCATACACACCTAATCACATAAACACATAATCAAATAAAACCACCAACCCCTCATCCTAGCATGATAACACATAAACACAACACAAATAATCACAAGGACTCCCCAATTTTACTTATCCATTAACCATTAAGTCAAAATCAAAAACAACCCTTAGGGTTACGTATGAAAATTTGGGGCTTTTCCTTTCAACTATCTATTTTCCTTGATTCAAGTATATTTAGTCATTATTTCATAATTGATTCGACAATCCACCATTAATTTCACACAACCACTTCATCAACACAAAGCCCATATATATATACACGTATATGTATATATATACCACATCCATCTCAATAGTTCAACACACCTTAAGATTCACTCACATTTACGCCAAAATACAAATGTACAAGGGTAAAGGTATTCCTATCTTAAGGTTGCATGAAGAGAGATGAAGGTCGACGCAATGAGCTTCTAAAATACCACGATCTAATCAGTTCAAAACGTAGCTCTTGACGAGGATAACAACTTTAATGAAGGCCCAAAGATCGATTCTTACTCTTACTAGATGAAATCTAGGGTGTTCTAGCTAGGGTTTTGGAAAGAGGGTTGTTAGAGAGAGAAGGAGTGTGAGAGAAATAATTGAAGATGATTCATGATTTTCAGATTTTAATATACAAATCCTCTAGACGATGTATTTCTGATCAATTTACATCATAATATCCAAATTAATGATTTTCTGAAAACTAATATAATAATCCTTGATTATAAGGTTAGTAGTGGATTCAAAACCCTGAGATATTTCTTATTTTATTTTATTTATTTTATGTCTTCATTAATTTTAGTTTTATTATTTTCAAAACCAATATTCTTAAATTACTTTAATTATTATTTTTGAATCTACACAACTCAATTAGTTCCTGAAGATAGACATCTGATCTTAACCGCTATACTCTGGAGTAGCAGTTATTACTTGGTTTTAAATAAAATATTTTGGTGCGCAAACAAAATTAATTTTTAGCGCCGTTGTCGGGGACTAAAAATATAATTATTTAATTTAGATATTTATTTATAAAACAAAATAAAAAATTTGAATTTAATTTTTTTTTTTTGCAAGAGAAATATAAATTTTAAAAAAAAATAAGAAAAAGAGACAAAATTTTAATACCGTGACACAAAAAGCAGATATCCATACTGAACATATAATTCATGGACTATTTACCTATGTTAGACACTTGTGAATTAATTACATCTGCTACACATATAACTTTGAGGACAAATAAAAATGACTGACTATTAACCTTTGACTACTAACATTTACTTTATTACACTTCCTTTTATTCTGTACATTTATTTTCTTTCTTAGAGGTCCTAAATCCCCTTTTATTTTATTGCAATTTAGTTTGTCCATTTTTTATTTTATTTTTTTGTATATTTATTTATACTAATTTGCAGGTTTTAGCTTGTAAAGAATAAATAAATAAATAAATAAATAAAGGATGAGTTTTTGAGCTCTTTTGATAGGAACAAAGGTCAAAGCTATTTAGTGTTTTGGAACCTTGTGTATAGTGGGGTTATGGTGTATTTTGAAAATAATTTGTGGAAATATGAGAGTCAGCATGTCGATTACTTTGAAACCCCTTTTGATTATTCTCAATATCAACATTATACTCCACCACCTCAACAAAAATCCTATTTTGAAGAGAGTGCTGGAAATTTTTTAAAATATGAAATTCAGTACACAATTGTTGCACTCCCAAATCCCACCTCAACAAAATTCAGATAACAAGGACAGAGTGTTAGCATTTCTTCAAAGTAACTTAGATTTCAATGTGTTGTTGCATATCCAGTGTCAATCGGTTGCCAAAATGTAAGATATTTAGAGCAAATAGCTAATATTCTCGATAAGGAAGAAGAGACTGTCTCCCATTTTTCAATAGAAAATTCTTTAAGAGAGTCTCTAGCTCGTTTTGATTTTGATGACAGTGATATGGATAAGCCATTATCAAACCCTTTCAGAGAATCACATTTTTCTTCCATTGAGAATGATCCACTCTCAACCCCATCGTTTTCACCTTGTGTGGAAGTACCGCATCAAGAGTTAGAGCCTTTGCCCTCAATTGATACTGATGAATTTTTAGATAGGGTTGAGACTATCTCCATG